ACAAACTTAAAACATCCAGAGAGGTGGTAGAAATATGCCAAATGCACTGCAAGTGTATTTAAACTTCTTCCTAATTATAATGACTACCATTGTAAATTTTAGAACTAACACAAATCCAGGGTTATTTGGCATGACACTCAAGATGGCTCCTGACCCTTAAACTCTGAACCTCCTTCCAATAATTTGAATAGGATAAAGAGTATCAATTCATTCTTCCAAATGTCTATCTAAATCCTCTTGTATATTCAACACATTAGTAACATTTTTTGCTGAATGATTAACAAAAGTAACTGTCTTAACTTCTTGTGTTAAAGCAATTGCAGAAATAGTGGTGCTAACAATTAATGTAAGTAAAGCTGTTATACCAGCAATAATCAAGCCCAGTATCCTCTTGCTTCTTCTTAAAGCCTGACTCACTTCTAGTACTTGCAAGTTTGTTTTGTTTTTTTTTTTCAGAATACCAAGGTTCTGTGATACTCAGGGCAATAAAACAAAAACTGGTTGATAGACCTCTGTAACTGATATGCCGAATTTCAGCAACATCAACATATTGGAAGCCAAGTACCTGGCTTGAACATGAAAATGGACCCCCAGACAAAGTTATTAAATTAACCGGCTGGCAAGCCAAGGATGGGTAAGATTCTGCACAGAGCCTTACCAACCTAAGATATAAGCACATTGCTTTGAATAATGCATATTCTATAATGGGTAAGGAAGGCATTATTGCCAGAATGACCTAAGACAGGCTCACTCTTGATAATGAAATAAAAAGGGGGAGAGGCAGAAAGCCTTTGGGGCTGCTTGGCAGGAATATGATACTGGCCAAGGACAAGGAAGTAGGCTTCAGGCAGGAAGCTGACATTAGGCTAGAACAAAGAAGTATTTTCAGGCAGGAATCTAAACTTTAGGCTAGAACAAGGAAGTAGGCTTCAGACATGAAAATGACTTTGGGCTAGGAAAGGGAAATTGACTCAAATATTTTGGTCATCCTGATAAGCCCTTAGAAACAGTGATCATGGGACTTTTTTTTATTGCCTTACTTGTTCTTTGACTATTTGTGTTTATTGTCTTGCTTGTTCCTTGACTATTTGCATCTATTGTATTGGTAGTTCCTCAACCTAGAACTGACCTTAATACTTGCATGTAATTAAAATGGTATAAAAGCAAAAAGGAGGAGGGTAGATGGGATAGGGAGTTTCTAGGGAGGGGAAATAGGAAAAGGGGATGACATCTGAAGTATAAATAAATAAAATATCCAAGAAAAAAAGAAAAAGAAAACCTGATCACTGATCTTTCTATAACAGTCCCACTTGACCCCAGTTCCTAATATTGTTTAATGAGGATTAAATTACAGCCTGTGTTTTAGAGAAAAGAGAGCACATTCAAATCATAGCAGTGGGGTAGACAGGATATGACTGTGATGGGCAGATTCTTCACTTTTGTTTTTAGTTGGTATCTCTGGTTCACTTAAGCAACTTGGGGAAGTAGGGCAGGTGAAAACTTACCAGCATTTATGAGGAAAGGACTTTTTTTGTGTTATATCTCATTTCATCTTTATGCAACGCTGTTAGGCAGCTTTCATTACCCATTGAAGAGGCAAAGGGGATATCCAGGGCACTATTTATAACTATTCTAGGACCACAAAGTGCCAAAGTAACTCAGCTGAAGTTCAGAATCAAATGTCCTGTTCTCTTTAGGAAAGGTGTTAGTTCTCCCTTTAAAATAAAAATAACAAAAATAAATCTATGGATGCGTTTTTGCCTCTTACTGATATCAAATACAATGAAAGGATTTTTAATATTTTACAATTTTTCTCTTTTTAAGTCAGCATATAAGAAAATGATTGTATTATAGTAATTAGATGTTTATCACCACCGTTACTTTTCTTTCCCCCATCTTTTGGTGATTTTCCTCTCCCTTAATGTTTTAATGTCACATGTAACTTGTAATACTGCTGTCCCTAGCTTATGACCTTTTCATCTCCTCTCATGGTAACCTTTCTAATTTCATTATACACATATACACATATGAACATACACACTCAAACCTAAATTTGGCATTTGAGAGAAAATGTGTCATGTTTTTCCTTCTGAGTCTGATACATTTCACTTAAATATAGTGATCTCTACTTCTATGCATTTTTGAGCAAGTGTCATGATTTCAATTTTCTTTGTGAATGAATAAAATTATATTGTGTCTATGTAGCACATTTTATCTGATGATGGACATACAGGCTTGACCCACTTCTTTTCTGTTGTGAATAATAAACAAGAATGTACAAATATATCTATAATATACACACTTAGAATTCTATGGATGTGAACCCAGGAGTGATAAGGCTGAATTATATAGAATTTCTTTATATCTCCATACAAATTTCCATAATAGCTTACCAATATACATCCATATAGACAGTGTATAAGGCCTCCTCTTTCTCCATATTCTTGCCAGCAGTTGCCATTCTTTTGATGATAGATATCTAACTGAGATAAAATAGATCTGAAAGCGACTTTAATTTGTATCTTATGGGTAAGGCTGTTGAAGCTTTTTCAAGTATTTATTAGTTGTTTACATTTCTTCTTTGAAAAAGTATCTTAGTTCATTAGTCTATTTACTAATTGGATGATTTCTTTTTCCCTTCAATTCTTGAAGTTCTTTGAATGTCGTATATAATATTCTCTTATCAGATGGATAAATAGCAAAGATTTATCTCCATTCTATGGGTCTTCTCTTCATCTTAGTTATTGTTTCCTCTGTGTTGCAAAACTTTTCAATCTTCACAGTCTCATTTGTCAATTTTTTTTATTTCCAATGGTATTAGCATACTTTTCAGACAGTCCTTGTCTATGCTAATATTTTAAAGTGTTTTTTCTGTGTTCTCTCAAGCTACTGAGTTCAGGATTTAAGTCCATTGTGAAGATATATGGAAGATAAGAATGATGCATCTAGTTTCATCTTTGTGCATGTGAATATTGATCTTTCTCAGCAACATTTACTGAAGAGTTTTTTCAATGTATTTTTCATGTTATTTTTATTGATTATTTCTGAACTTCACATCATGAACCCCAAGAACACTTTCTTCCCAATCCTCCCAGCTCGGCCCCACACCACTCTTGTGACCACCTCCCCCCATTAAAGAAAACAAGTTCAATTTGTGTTACCTATATACTCACTAAAGCATGGTCAGACTCTCAGTGGAGAGTTTTCCCTTAATGAAAACTTAGTCTTTCCCCGACTACACCCCCATCAGATGCCAACAACTATACTTCAGCATCCTTATCACATTTTTTAATTTTTTATTGGTTCTTTGTGAATTTCACATCATGCACCCCAACACCACTCATCCCCCCCTACCTTAATACTTGCCCTTGAACTTCCTTGGCCAACAGAATAAAAATAATCTCATTATAAAATCTGTAGTGTATCCTAGTGTATCCCACAGTGTATACCTTTTTGTCTACGTGTCTTTGCTTACAAATGTTCATTGCGATGACTCATTGGTCTGGTACAAAGGCCTCTGGCTTTTCCTATTCTATCAATACTGAAACCTTACTAGGACTCCTATCAGGTATCCTGTTATTGTTCTGTGTCATAGAGATCCTGAAGTTTTGGATCTGTAATACCGGCCCCTTCATGTACTCCAGCAGTTCACTGATGTGGTAGATATTGGGATACACTAATTTAAATCTCTGGATCTGGGCCTGAGAGGTATCTGAACTGGTCAGTCCACTGGTTCTCCCACTTTCATACCTTACAGTAGTCGATCCTGCAAATAGGATCAGCTCTACCCTACAACCTAGGTGAGGTGTGAGGCCTGCTTTCCTAAGTGTTCCAGCTGGTGACTGACATGGCCATATCCCCAATCTCATGACCCCAGAGCCATCTCCCTCACCTGCCATTGGTGGTGATGGATGAGGGATGGGTGGAGGACAACTCCCCCCTTGCCCTTGCTGCCACACAGAAGACAAGAGACAGGGCCAGCTCTCCCACGTTCATACACACAGACTCAGGTTGCTATCAGGGTAAGCTCTACTGTGAGGTGAAGTCCAGGGCCTGCTCTCCTTCAAGTGCTGCAGCAGGTGAATGGCAGAGACAGCTCTCCTGCTCTTGTGACCAAGGGCCAGGGTTTCCTACCTGCTGCAGATGGCAAGGGATGAGCGGGGTATCTCAACCTCATTCATGTAACTGGAAGGAAGACAAGTGACAGGACCAGCTCTCCTGCCTTCAGGGCTGGCTTACCCACAACTCCAGAAATGTGCAGCTCTCCTGAGTACTGAAGATGGCTAGGAGCAGCTCTCTTAGCTCTCATGCTCCCAGGGCCAGATCTTCCATGGGTCAGGTAAGGGGTGGGGCCAGTTCTGCATATCCTTTAGATATCAACATGTGCCCAGGCAGCAGCCAAGGACATCCACCTGGCCTTTGGTGGTAAAAGACTCCTGCTGCTGCAGGGCCACAGACCAGATGTGGCTCCAGGTGCTATCACAGGCCTGGACCTTTCCAAGGTCCCAGGTGGTGTCACAGGCTACACACAACAGGCTGTTCCTCAATACCTTTGAATTTCTAGTTCTGCCTCTCTTGGTTGTTCATGTCCTGTTTCTTTTTCTCTTCCATTTCTCCACCACTTACTTGCTTCTCTGAGTGTCTGACATCATCTCAGAAGTGTTTTCAAAAGCGTTATGCCCCATTTGTGCATTATGATACAAGACAAGGGTTATCTGGAGCATGATCTGCTTCCTAGTAGGCCTGTGTGGCACCAGATTGGTAGTCATCTCAGGTGAGCTCTTTGTGCAGCCCCATAGCACAGGTCTTGGGCTTGCTTCTCACCTGGGACCATCTGAGTGGCCCCATGCATTGGTCATCTGTCTAGGGCTCAGTCCCACCTGAGGCCATGGTCCTAGACTGGGTTGTTCTATTCTCCAGCTTGATCCCCACCCTGGGAGCCTATCCAGACCTGCCTGGCACCAGACTGGTGGTCAACTCAGGCTTGAGTTTGTTTGTGAAGTGTTAAACTACTTAATCATTCAGATGCTCACAGGTCAGAACACTGAGTGTAGATGTAATGTCTCTCTTCTCTGCCACCTATTGACACTCATGTGACACAGCAGCCACATGTGACACAACTGCCCCCTTTTGGCACGAGGTGGGGGTGTCCTTATCACAATTTTTAAGAGTTCTCCTTGGCTTTCTGTCTAGGCTTTTCCTTTGGGTGGGGTTGAGTGGAAGTGGGGGTGGAGGTAGCAATTGTCATATTGCCATCTATGTCCCTCTTTCCCAACTGTGAGTCTGCACTCATCAATATCATGGCCAAAGTAGCTTCCTTGATCTTTACAGTCAGTATCAGAAACATAAATCATAGACTTACACATGGTTTCTGGAGACAGCATAGACCACAGACATCCACATGGTCTCCTGCATCAGCATGTGCATATGGGCATGAACCTCAGAATGGTCTCCAGTGGCAGAACAGACCATGGACATTAATACATACCCAACTGCAATAGTACCATGAACCCAGATATGGCTCTCAGTTATAGCACAGACCAGCACATCACCATGGCTTCAGGTGGTGGCCCAGACCAAGGACATCTGTATAGCCTTCAGTGGTGCCCCCGGCCAGGGACATCATCACACCTCATAGTCACTCTAGAACCACAGACATCTGCTTGAACCTTGAGCATCAACATGGCCTGGGACAGCAGATTACGAATACCAAAGTGGCCTCCAGAGGATGAACAGACCATAGAGATCTTTCAATGAGGGCCAGTCCATAAAATAGTCCATTCTTTGTCTTGGACATCATGCCATTGTCCAGAACCAGGAAGACTGTGCAGCTGGGCAACATGTTCCAGGGACACATATTCCCCTGCCCACCACAGGCTTCTCTCACACCTATAACTGTTGCCACATCTCTAGTTCCACCTCTCTCTGCCATTTATGACTGCCTCACTTCTTTATCCTTCTCAACTCTCCATTGAAATCTGTTTATCATAGTGACATTGAAAACTTCAGTGTATCACATAGATGATGGTGATCATCATCATTACCATTATTATTTTGCCCAGATAGCTTTGAATATGAATATTCATTCCAAAAAGTCATTGGTCTGGGTCAAGGTTTATGGTTTCTGAAGCACAATAAATACTGAACCATTGCTGAGGCTTGTTTAAGATATTCTGCTGTTGCCAGAGTCATGGTTATATTGCAGCTCTGGCTCTGCAGAACTGGCTCCTTCATGTGCTTCAGAAGCTTATAGATAGGGTAGACAATGGGTGGACCTACTCAAAGTAGCTGAATCTGTGCCCAGATGGTAGCTGAGGTGGTTAGCCACTAGCTTCCACCATGACACTGTAGGTCCTACATAGCTTCCTGAATTTTTAATACCTTTGCTGAAAATTGAGGGATTTATAGCCATGTGTGTTTATTTATGTCCTTCTATCCTATTCCATTGATTTATTGTTCTTAGTATCAGTACAATGCTGTCTTTATCACCTTGCTCTGTAAAATAAACTGAGACCAGGTGTGTTAGTCAGGGCTCTCTAGAGAAACAGAACAGATAGGATGGATATACATATACATATATATATATATATATATATATATATATATATATATATATGATTTATTAGAGTAGCTTTCACGCTTTGGTGTGGAGCTGGCTATTCAACAGCTGGCTACCGATGGAAAGGCCAAGAATCTGATACATGTTCAGTCCATGAGGCTGGATTTTTCATCTATTCTTAATCATACTTTGGAGTCCTGAAGAAGTAGGCTTTAGTACCGGTGAAAGAGTGCCTAAGCAATAAGATAGATGAACATGCCAGTGAAAGAAACGGCAAGTAAGCAAAAACCAAAAATTCCCTTTTTCCATGTTTGCTTATATGGGCTATCATCAGAAGGTATGGCCCAGCTTTAGAATGGATCTTCTCACAATAAATGATCAAATTAAGAAAAATCCCTCATAAGTATGCCCATCAGCTTGGCTTTAGTTAATTACAAATGTTACTAAATTGACAAGCAAGATTGTCCACGGGCCCAAAGGTCATATAATATCTCCTATGTCATGCTTAGTTTCCAAATGTAAACAATAACCAGGTCCCGATCATGCCCAATATAACCATCCTGTGTACAACTGAAAATCAAGCTCTCCATGTATAAGCACAAATGCATTATATAATTTATTATAGGTATGTCTCATAAACACAATAACCATTGATATTATTCTAATTGATATTAAATATTACATGATAAAGACTTAGAGGAAAGAAACTATAAACATCTGCTTAATATATTTATATATGTGAACAAACATATTTCTAATAAAATGTGACAGAAATTTTCCTGTCAATTATAATCCTCCTTCCTGAAACTCATCATGAGGTCCTAACTAGTATTGTGCCACACCTGCTGATGGTAATTTACATCAAAATACATGGAAGAAGGGTCTTGTTGTTGTTTTTAGTTTTTTTTGATTTTGTTTTTTTGTTTTTTGTTTGGTTGGTTGATTTTTGCCTGTTTGCCATTACTTTTACTGGCAACTTCATCTATCCTGCTGTTGAACTATTCCTTCACTAGTATTAGAGCCAAGTTCTTCAGGCATTTAGATTAAGAGACAGCTATTGTACTAGTTATCCTACTCTACGAGAGAGAGAGAGAGAGAGAGAGAGAG